GAGATGTGGTTCCCAAGAGCTCTTCAACATGGAATTCAATTTGCTGCTCACATGGACCTAACCTCCTTCACAAACACATTTTATTTTCAAATATGATTTGCTTATAGATTTCAGTGGTCAACTGTGTATTCTGTGGCTATTCCTTCCTTGTTTTTCTTGCACCTGATTATGAAGAGCACAGGATAGTCAGAGATGTCTGGATAAGTCAAGAAACATGGGATAATGAAAGATAGTGATGTCTGGATATGGCAAGCAATGTGGAAAAATGAACAATTCTTTTAAGGCATAAATGCCATCATTAAAGCAGACAAGAATGTGGGTTTGGTTGACATGCATCTTGAGAATACAGCAGCCCATTCTTACATCAATATTATTTCTGCTTACACTGTCCCAGATATTATTTTAAGCAGTCACATCCAGAGGGAACAAAATAAGCTACAAAACATGCCCTCTTGAAGTGGCATCCTAGTGGGTAGGAATAGACAGCAAATTAGAAAAATAAGTCAATTACTCAGTGAGCCAAAGGGCCAGCGCTCTGGAGAAGAATAAGTCAGGGAAAGAGTACAGACTATGGGGGGGAGGCGGTGGATGATGAGGGTGTTTAGAGAAGACCACACAGAGAAGGTGTATTTTTGAACAAGTAAAGGGGCTAAAAGAAAATTATAAGCAGAATGAATGAACAGTGAATACAAATATTTTGAGTATAAAATATTTTGTTGTACAAAATAGATAAAAATGATCTATAAATGAAGCATGTGTTTGTGTGTGTGTGTAAGTGCTTGCAGGGAATATAAGCACTGCTAACCAAGAGACTCTGAGAAATAAATGCCTTCTTCCTTGCAAAGCAGCCTTATTTACCTATTCTTCCTCTTTCATTATCTTATTGATCATAAACTGGTGACTTCAACAACAGAAATTTATTTCTTGTAGTTCTGGAGGCTGGAAGTTCAAGACCAGGTTGTCAGAAAGGTTGAGTTGTGGGGATATCCTCTTCCTGCAGATTGCCACCTTCTCACTATGTCCTCACATGATAGGGAAAGGAAGAGATTATTCTCTTCTAATAAGACCACCAATCTTGGAGGATCAAGATCCCATTCCTATGGCCTCATTTAACCTTAATTACCTTCCTTGAGCAGCATGTACAGTCACATTGGGAGTTAGGACTTCGACATGTAAATTTGGGAAGGATACAATTCAGTCCATAGCATACATTCACCTCATAATTCTAATGAACCCTAGAAAATATGTATATAAATTATTTAGTATAGTGCCTAGCTTAAGACCCATATATCTTCTCTCATTTTTCCTCTTTCTCCACCTTCATTTCATTATTCGTGATTACATTAACAAGAATTAAACCCAATCTGATCCAATCAATGACTTTGTGGATGAACTGGGTTTCCCAGAAATGATATAAGCCATGAATCCCTCAGTTACCTCAGAAATATAATACAGAGAGTGAGCTCAGTGACAACATTAATGTCCCCAGTGTCTACAGTTTCGATTTCATTGTAGAACTATGAGTGTTATAGGTACGTGTTCTGATCACAGAGCAGGGTACAGTAGACTCTTTATGCATTCATTATTCAAGTTGGCTATGCATGCAATGATTTGGACCATGCTAGCTGCTTCCCCTAACCCCACCTTATTTTTACCACATCACCTGAAATTTCAAGTTTCTTAATATTGGTCAGATATATGCCATTATCTCCAAATGGTATTAATGGCAAAGTGACAGACACAGAGATAGCTACCTTAGTAAAAAAAAAATGTTCATTACTTATAGTAAAAAGGGAGGGCGTATCGCATAGGACCACATGGGAATTAAAAAATGATTTGTCCCAAGGCAGACAAAAAAAAAAACCTAATCCCTTTATTGTAGTTTCTATGTGAAGGAATGGAAAAGGCAGGGTAGGTAAGCTGGACCACATTTGGGGTTGAATAATTTGAATATTTTCTACAAGCTCTGGACTATAGTGTGGTCTCCAGTTGTCAGGTATGTGGCCCTGGAGTGATTCAGGGCAGGGAAAATGTTGTTTTATTGTATGCAGGAATAAGATATGGTTGTTTTCCATATAAAGGCATACTCTTGTTGGCAACCATGCTGATTTTAATATCTAGGAATTAGCTTGCCCTGGGCAGAGCAGTATAGAGAATTAGCAAGGTCTCCAATGTGTTAAAATACTATGTATCCAGAAAAATCTTTTAAAAATTATCAATTCCAATTACAACAACATTCTGAGCCTACCCCAAGAAATTCTGTGTGTTCTCATCTAAACTCACTGTTACTGTTTTCTCGAATACATTCTGTACAGCAGGCACTGTTGGGAGCAGAAAAGAAATGAAGGCAAGATCACACTGACCATGCACATCTTTGCAAGAAGTTCTGCAGTTACTCTGAATAAATTATTGGAGTATTTAGAGCAGAAAGGTAACATGATCTGACTGGCCTTTTTACAGGACAACTCTGGCTGCCATGTGGGAGACTCAGGTAAACTAAGAGCAAAAACACAGAGGCTCCCACAGCAATGCAGGTGGCAGGTACTCATGGCCTCCTCTGGGGTAGAAACAGTAGAACTAAGGAAAAATGATGATACTCTGGATATATTCTAAAAGATGTTCCTAATTAAATAGAAACAGTGAGAAAACAAGAGAGGAGTCAATAATAATATTAAATGATGTTTCCTAATGTGAAATAATGTCATTTACCAGAACTGAGAAGACTAAAATAGGAAAAGATTTAGAAAGGATTGTCAGAGTTTTTCTTGAGATGCCCAGTAGACATCACATAAAAGATGTTAAGTAGGCATTAGAATTTATGCATCTGGAGTTTAGGGAAGAACTCCATGGTCAGGAGATGTGACATTACATCCAATTCATATGCAGAGAGAGAGTCAGCAGGCTGGGTGAGATCACCAGGAAATGACAGGGGATGGAGAAGACAGGGAGTTCCAGAGTTGTTTCTGGGGGCACTTCACAAGTCCAAAGTTGGGACAAGAACCCTGAGGCATATGCAGCAACAGAAGTAGAAAAAACTGAGGCAGAACGACAACCTGAAAACAAATAAAGAGATTTATTTTCCAGGAAAATGAGAGAGGAGCTATAACAAATGACCCAGATAGATCAAATCTGATGAGGACTCAATCACTGGAGTTAGCCAGGTGAAGCCACTGAGCATTCACTGGAGACACCTGACACAATTGAATATTGTTCCAAATTTCATGCAGAAATAAAATTATTTATTAATGGTGAAATGTATTGACAGCTGGTTATCAACTGAGTGTTTGCCTAGCTCCCAGGAGGATGAGCATAGAAATGAAAACCTTAATAAAGTGACATTTTTATTTGTTTATCTACAAAATGACTTAGGCTGATGAGAAGTTAGTGTGAATGGAATTGTAAGATAGATATGTATCTGCCAAATCTATTCTTGTCTCCCTGTTTCAGTGGAATATTTCTAGTTATTTGTGTAGAGCTTCTTGAAGAGACTGGGAGGATTTCTGAGTGACAGCATGGAATACTGTTTCATACTCATCATCTACTTTTTTTTTTTTTCCTAATTGTTATCATTAAAGAAGAAATTCTTAATAAAATTATAAACATAAAAAAATTAGATGAATTCATGTGTTTTCAGTACGACATTAGGTAGTATACACAAATTACTTATATTGAAAATTGCCTTTGAAAAGTATCATTATATGGTATTATTTTTATGGTACAATCTATGTAAACCATAGTAAATATTATGTACCTTATAATTCCATCATTGTATATTATTTTACAATACATATTCTTTGCCAAAACTTTGTATCTATCATTTTCACCTTATACTTTCCTGGGTAATTTTTTAGGCCTATACACAATATTGTAAGATATGAATTGACAAGGCCATCATGGTGTTTCAGTATATGAAAACTGTTGTATGAGGGTTTTGCAAGGGACAGGCAGCTTCACCACAGGTGTAAACTTGCCCCGGAATTATTATTATGATAGAGATAGACTACCCACTCATTTCTGGCAAGTAGCAAAGCTTTATTGTTCCTGACAAATTTTATAGTTGGCTGGTCATGTACACTCTATTAATTAACAAGCAAAGCGTTCTTATTACTAATCTTTTCTAAAGTTAGTTCAACCTTCAAAAAGACACAAATCTTGAAACCTTGAGACAGCTGCAAAAGGGAATACATCTAGAGACTTGAGATTACCAAGAGGGGAGAAAAGCTTTGGAGTTTTACTATGCACTCATTATATTGCAGAAAGAAGATTTATGGCTCTTGTTTCTAGGCAACCAGGAGGCCATGTTGTTTTCCAATATGCAATCACACCTATCAACCTCTAGGCTGCGTCTCTGCAAGAAGGCTTTTTTAGCCCTTTCCTTGTAGACTTAATAGCCACATAGCCAGAGTCACTGAAAGTGGGTTTTTAGGCCCAAACCTACAGGCCCTGTTCTATGTTGACCAAGGTAACCAGGTCTTCGACTCTCGACAGAGTTGCATTCCACAAAAGTCTTCTGCCTGCTTCTGGAGATTAAAGTGAGCACACAGTATGTGGGGTTTTATCCCATAGAAAACAGTACAAAAATACTTGCTTCTTTCAAAAATATATTTTAACAGGGAAAATTCAGTATTTCAAATACAAAAAAGTTAACACTTCATGCTAAACATTGACATATTTTGCATAAAAGAAAATTGACAAGAGGAAGAGGATCAAAGCATGAGAAAAACAGAAATCGTTGGTCGATCTTTTTTGTAGTCAAAAATTCATGTCTAAAGAAAAAGCATTATTAAGCAATTTGATAAATTTGTAATCAAATATATGATTGTAAAGTTCAAGATATTGTCACAAAATGGAAACTCTTTCTAACACCTGTTTAGATTGGTGTTCCTAGACTCTAGGCCTGCTGGAGATGTGGTATTGATGAGGATACATTCTGTCTATTCAACACAGTGATTCCAACTGAGCTCTTATTGCCTCTTCTCCTAGGTGAGATTCCCACAGCCATGGAGGGAAGCAACCACACTGTGAATGAGTTCATCCTTCTGGGCTTCACCACAGATCCAGTGATGCAGATGGTCCTGTTTGGGGTGTTCCTTGGGGTGTACTCACTGACCCTGCTCGGAAATAGCACCCTCATAGTGTTGATCCATAACAACTCCCATCTTCACACACCCATGTATTTTTTCCTTGGAAATCTGTCTTTTCTTGATTTCTGGTATTCTTCCGTCTACACTCCGAAGATTCTAGTGACCTGCATCTCTGAAGACAAAAGCATCTCCTTTGCTGGCTGCCTGTGTCAGTTCTTCTTCTCTGCGGGGCTGGGTTATAGTGAGTGCTACCTGCTGGCGGCAATGGCTTATGACCGTTATGTGGCCATTTCCAAGCCCCTGCTTTATGCTCAGGCCATGTCCATGAAGCTGTGTGTAATTTTGGTCACAGCCTCATATCTTGGTGGGTTTATTAACTCTTCTGTCATCACCAAAAGAACATTTTCCTTTAATTTCTGCAAGGATAACATCATTGATGACTTTTTCTGTGATTTGCTTCCCCTGGTGAAGCTGGCCTGTGGCAGGAAAGATGGATACCAGGCTCTGATGTACTTCCTCCTGGCCTCCAATGTGATCTTCCCCACCACGCTCATCCTGGCCTCCTACCTCTTCATCATCGCCACTGTCTCCAGGATCCGCTCCACCCAGGGCCGCCTCAAAGCCTTCTCCACGTGCTCCTCCCACCTGATCTCTGTTACCTTATACTACAGCTCTATTCTCTACATCTATTCTCGCCCCCGCTCTGGCTATTCTTTTGAGAGCGACAAAATAGTTTCCACATTTTACACTGTAGTATTCCCCTTGTTGAATCCCATGATCTACAGCCTGAGGAATAAGGATGTGAAAGAGGCTCTGAATAAACTCCTGAAATAACTAATAGTCTCTCCTTCTAACGAGACCCAAGGACAACTTTAGATCAGGTCGCTTACATTCCAAGCAGAGCTGCTACTGTGCTCCATCAGGTCAAGGATCCCTATGACACAAGTTTCCACCCTCAACACGTGTCAGTTCAAGAGACCTAAACGAAGAAAATTAGGAAAATTAAGGAAATGAAATATGAATATAAACTATATGTATTTGGATTGAATTTCATGTTAGTTTAAAAACAAACATAAAACTTGAGCCTCAAAATTCTCTTCTACCTTCATAAAATGAGAGAACAATCCATTTCTTTAGCCTAAGAATATTTGGCTGACTGATACATATGGAGCAACATCTACCTAGTTGCTAGAAATAATAATAGCTGTCCTCATTCACTTTCAAGATTTTCCTTTAAATAGTAAATAAATACACTCTTTTAATGTCTCATCCTAAGCATTTATATAAGAATTCCCCCCCAGAAGTACCAACACCAAGATCCAGAGATACCCAAGGAATGACCTGATACAAACTAGACTCAATAGGCATTATCTGAGTTTACATATCTCCCACATAAGTTTCTCCAGTCAGTCAAGATCCCATAGATATGACTTTTGTGATTCTCTTTATAACACACAGGGCTCCTTACAGGCATGAAGGTATGAGGGCTTCTATATCCAAATGGTGACATTGAGAGCATCAAAATTCAATTATTATAATAAGAACAGTTTATAACTTTGGTGAAGTGAAACACCTTGAAACATATAACATAAAAACGTATGAGTGCACATTACTCAAAATAAGACTTTATATAGAAAATGCATATGGGAATTATGAATTGAGCTGCAATGAACAATCTGGTGCAAGTATATTTCTTATAAAGTGATTTTTGGTCTTTGGGATATACACCTAGTAGAGGAATTGCAGGATCAAATGACAGGTCTGCATCTAGATCCCTGAGTGTTCTTTAAACTTTTTTCCAAAAGGAACGTATTAGCTTGCATTCCCACCAGCAGTGTAGAAGTGTTCCCTTTTCTCCACATTCATGCCAACTTCATGGATATTATAAAGATGGCTACATGTCTTTACACATTTGTCCAATTCCATAAGTAGTATAGCCCCAAGAGTGAAGGCTAATGTAAACCTTGGACTTTGGGTAACAATGATGTGTCAGTGTAAGCTCACCAGTTGTAACAAAGGTACCACTCTGGTGGGGGACATCCATCCAGGGGAACGCTGTGGATGTGTGAGGGCCAGGCACATATGGGAAATCTCTGTACATTCTTCTCATTTTTTTCCATAAAATATTTCAGCTCTAAAAATATAAATCCTTATAGAATGCAATATCTTTACATACTCACCTGAATAGCTAACATTAAAATAAGAAAAAGAGGCCACGTGCGGTGGCTCACACCTGTAATCCTAGCATTCTGTACTCCCATCTACTTGGGAGGCTGAGGCAAGATGATCACTTCAGCCTGAGATTTTGAGGTTACTGTGTGCTATGATGCCATGGTACTCTTCTGGGGGTGACAGAGTGAGACTCTGTCTCAAAAAACTGAAAAATAAATTAATAAGTAAAATGACAAAAAAGAAATAAACTAACATTGGTGAAGCTATAGAGCAAACAGAACTCAGGTATGTTGCAGATCAGAGCAAAAATTAGTGTAATCACTTTGAAATACTATTTGGCATTATTACTAGATTTTTAACTACTAATTACAATGTCTACAGAAATGCAAATATATGGCAACCAAAAATTAAGTACCAGAGTATACACATTTTTCACAGTAGCCCCAAACTGGAAACTATTCAGGTGTCCTCAAATATATAGCACATAAATCTATTAGGGCATTATCCAAAAACACAATACTAAAGCATAAAAATAAATTAAAAGTGACAGCATGAAAGACTAGAAATAAATCTCACATATATGACTTTACATGAAAGATAGCAGAAATAAAATAGCACATAGTATGGATTCCCTTGCTATAAAATTCAAAAATATGTAAGATTCATTTATTATCTTGGGAATCATGATAGTCATAATTTTGGGAAAGAAATGTGCAGTTATTGGAAAAGGGAATGAATATCGCTTCTGTAAAGCTAGCAATATTCTATTTTCTTAACTATGGATGTGATTACATATAAGGATGTATTTAATTTGTGAATATTTATTGAATTTTACACTTTACTTTGTTTAATTTTCTAATACTATGTGAGATATATATATACACATGTGTATATCACATAGATTTACATATATGTATATATGCTTTATATACATAGAAGAATTCTTAAACATATGTAGTGGGGCGATTATGCATAATCTTCTGGGCCAGTGATTTTCAAACTTTAATTGACACAGGAATCATATAAGTTACTTATTGAAATACAGACTTCAATTCGGTCATTTGAGGGCAGGGCCTAAGAATCTTCCTTTTGAACAAGATACCACCTGATACTCGTGACTCTGGCTTTTGAACCACACTTTAAGTGGCACAGCTTTAGATCCTGGTAAGGAGTTTGGATATTCTTCTTTTGAAATTGGAGGATTTTCAGCAAGAAGAAACTATGATCTGATTTATGATGTAAAAGCACTGTTACTATCATGAGGAAAATCAACTTTAGGAAACTAAAAGAGAGCAGTAGCAACATTTATGTAGGAAGAGTTGCTACTCATTGTACCCCTGCTGAGAATTGTCATGATGAAGATAGTAAAACTGAAAGAAGAGGGAAAAAAGTCCATGGAGCCCATGAGAACTCTCCAGCCCTGTTAAACAAGACTAATTTGTGGTGCACACAGTACTTAAGGACAGGGATGTGGAGAAGGAAACAGGTCCATCCTCCCCACCATATTACTAAATGTCTGCTCTGCAATTGATGCCATTTAGTGGACATTTATAACAGAACATGAATTTCTTCGTACTGCCCTTTCCTAGAGATAATCCATATACCTGTCTCAGATTAATTCCAGTCTGCTGAGTCAGTCAACCCTCCAATGATTGCTCAGGAATCAATGTAGAGACACACCTGAGACCACCACTCCTCCCATGCTAAAAGAAGTCTAACATACCCCTTAATATTCTGCACATGCACACTTTTGACTTAAGTTTGTATCCCCAATACTGCTGCCCACTGGAAAGAATCAGGAGTTTTTAGAGGACAACTGAGTTTGTATTTTCGTGTGAAAAAATAAATACCATATGCCTTAAGCATTCTGTCTTGACTAGAAAACAAGGAAACTCTTAGAAATGATATAGGCAGAGGCAAAAGGAGCCAGCCCAAGGAGTCTTCTTGGTAAAGTCGTAACATGCTGAGTATCAAATAAACTATTATAATAACAAAAGTGCTATTTATTTCTAATTGCAATATAATGAAACAATGAAAGCCCCCCCAAAAATCTAGGTTACTAAAAAAAAAAACTGTCTATAGAGAACAAAAGAAGGTAGTGATAAAACAGAAGAGAATAAATATACTACATTGTTTCATATTGGTTGAATTTTTAAATTAATAAAGGTGACATGATTTAATGTGTATAGAGTATGTGGAAATATATACAGAAATTCACATATGTAAAGATATGTTCATATTTTATTGAGATGAGCAGTAACAATAAACGTAAAACCTATGTTTTACAAATTTTCCTGTCACCATAATCAGCTCTTCAAAGAATGGAGTAATTTTCAGGATTAATTAATATGAATAAGTGGCAACAGTTATCACAAAATGTAACTCCATTAATTTTCATTCTGCACCTATGCTGAGAATGCTAACTACGTCCTAGCCACATTTTCTTGTTAACAATTTTCCAACAATCTTTTTCTTTTCCAAGCACCTGACAAACCCACCAACCTTTTAGCCACTTCCCCAGCTGCAGACCAATACCTGTCCCTGGACTGTTAGGAACTGGGTAGCTCAAAGGAATGAGCAGCAGATGTGAAGCTTCATGTGCATTTACAGCTGCTCCCCACTGCTAACATCACCACAGCGCTCCACATCCTGTCACAGCAGCAGGGGCATTAGATTCTCATAGGAGAACAAACCCTCCTATAAACTGCACATCTGAAGGATCCAGGTTTGTCCTCATTATGAGTAACAGCAAACAAAATGACATTACTGAGCAGAACCTGAGCAATACACTTTGGGTGTCAGTCTCTCCCAGCACTCCCAGATACAACCATATTAGAAAACGAGCTCAGGGTTTATATTGATTGTGCATCATGGTGAGTTGTATAACTATTTCAGTATGTATTACAATGTAATAATAATAGAAGTAAATTGCACGATAAATATAATACACCGAAAGCATCCCAAAATCATGCCCCCACCCCATTCATAGAAAATTTGTCTTCCCTGAAATCGGTTCCTGGTGACAAAAATCACCCCATATTGTGATTGTGGGACAGGTGCAACAGACTGGTATATTAAGGTCCTTTAGGAACTTGAGGAAACAAAAAATATTTTCCAGATCCAATGTGGGTGCACTTGTGTTGGCAAATTTGGCTTGATTGATCCTTGCATTTCATTCTTCTTGGCTTAGAATCCAATCTCATACATGCTTCCTAGATTCCTTCTAAGAAAGTCTGAGAAGCATCAATAATTATTTGGACGTATATTTCCTATAAAAACAGTTCCCAGATTTCTTCATTTGCTGTAGTAATATTTATCACTCACCACAGAGACAATGTGGAGCAGTGGGGTTGTGTGGTGTGGAGAATTTCATCAGCTTATGAGGAAATACTCTAATTCAGTCACTGTATGACATGTTCAGGGGAAGGCCAGATCCCCCTTGGGTGGGAAGCAAAGATTGGGATTGCCTCTACAGAAAAGGATTTTGTTGTTAGCTCTCTTCTTGGCTCTCCAACTTTTTATCTCATATTTTATGGTTCCAATTCCTCCCTCCATTATTTTTTAGCTTATCATAGAATCTCTGGCAATGTTTAGCATTTAATTAGGAAGGCTTCTCTGCACTGCTTATAATCAGGCCCTGCCTTGGACTTCAACCATAACAT